TACAATAATTGACATTACCAAATTCTAGTTGATTGCGTAAGTGAATGATTTTGTTTAATATATTAATTAGCTATAATGATATTCCAACTTTCAAAACAAAGCAATAATCTCATATTTTTTCTAGCAATTATCACAGAAATAAAATGCAGAAAAACGTAAAGGTGCAAAAAGTGGAAACAACACACCAAAAATTTGTATAATGGTTCGCTCAACTTTGACCTACGTCCACTCCTTTTGCTACCACAACAAGGTAGAGAAGCTCTTACAGACTCACTTTAATCAAAACTGATACGATGGAGTGCCGGAAGCTATGTCACCATCCCAGTGATAGAAACACACCATTAATCATTTTTCTCTCTCTTGGAGAAGATAGAGAATCCAAAAGCTTTTTCTCCCTCATAGAGAAGGCAGTGTACCTCCAATATTTTACTCCCGCCAAGAGAAGGCATAGTAGCTCGTGGACTTAACTTCAAAGCTTCTCCCCTAATAGAGCCTTCAAGGACTCACCAAGGCCACATGAGGAGCAAGGGTGTAGATAACCTAGAGTAATCATGTGATCCCCTCACACTCCTTCATGCTCAACCTGACATTCTCCTTCCTCTTAAACCCTGATTTTCTCTCAAAAGTATATCTCTCATAGTTCCTTTAGCAATCACACAATCTTCTTTATTACTAAGAGATTCTTCAAATATTGCTTAAGTATTAGGTTTCAAGAAACCCTAAAAATTTAATATGCCCTTCTCTATTTATACAATACGATTAGAATTCATGAAATATGATCAGTTCAAAAAAACTAGACCCATCTAGTATGATGTAAATACTCAATCAGAAGAGCAATTTTAAATTTTGAACATATCATACAGTACGATTGTGAGGATGTCAAGTACGATCTATTTAATTTCTCTACATTCGTAGAGGAGGATCTCTGGGATGATTAAAAATCATCTCTATCAATCATCCCATACTGCTCTCATAGTATAATAGGATTAGTTGATTTTAAGTGGGTCATCTAATACAATGTGAATATCATATATTATATTTAGTTCAAAAATTAAAATTTTGTTTGGTACGATCTTTGGGACGACCAAATTTCATCTCTGCTAATCCTATGATATGATTGACATCATAAAATATGATTGGTTATCGTTAATTTAACCATGATTTGGTTGACTAATTATGAGGATTAATTTAAGTAAGATTTAGAATTTTCATACAACATGAATCACATCATACAGTATGATTAGTTCAAAATTTAAATTTTGAATATCTTAATTTATCTGAAGTCTCAAATTTTTAGATCAAAATGATAGTACATTATGATTGTAAGTCATATAGTATGATTGTAAGTCATATAATATGATTAGTCCAAAAAAAAATAAACTTTAAAATTTTTTCACTCCCCCAATGTGTGTGTGTATGGTCATCCAATTGCATACACTCTTATGTGGGCAGACTAAAGAATTAAAAAAATAAATAAAAAATAAAAGTACATACTCTTTTACTTGACATCTTATTCTACCTAATTTTGAGTTTTTAGTAGCCTTGAGCAATATATATTTTCTCTGCAATGTTAGTGTTCATAGATAAAAGAATGTCCAAAATATTTATTGAGAAAAGTAATAATTCAATCAATAATATTTGTCATAATCAAAATCACATACTATAGAGCTTGGACTGCAACAAGCTTTTATTAGGATTAATCTTAAGACAAGTAGCATCAACAAACTCTTTAAGAACATGCTTAAGACTTAAAACATTATGGGTTAAAGTAACGCCAAAAACCAATAATCCATTTGCACCAAGCAGGTGAAATGGGAATAAGAAGTTAGTTGTCGACCAATGCAGTACAATAAGAAGTTAGTTGTAGACCAATATTTCCTTTTCAGAATTGTTTTCAAAGCTTACTGACTAAAGTATAAAGAGCCAATTAGAGAATCCTATGTTTGTGTAGAGAAAGCCTCCAACACAGCTTCATAGTAACCATCCATCCATGCCAAATAATTTTTAAAGTCTAATTTACAAGGTTAGTGGGAATAAGAGACGAGAAAATGATCAGAGGAGAGTGATACGAACAATTGAAAGGCTCCACCTTTTAGTAAGAAGCCCAAAAATAATTTGACAATTCATAGTTCACTAGTGCTCTATCCAATTTAATATGAATTGGGTTTTTAACCCTCTGATTCAACCATGTGTAAAATAATCCCACCAATAAAAGATCATACATACCGTGTAAAAAATAGCATAATTTAGAACTCCCAACCTTGTATGTTGCAACTAGTTTCTCCTTGCTTTTTCAATATCAAACCTATATAGTTGAAATCACCCACGAAAATCCAAGGCTGATTAATAGAGATAGCCAAATCTTTGAGTTGGGACCAAATAATTCTTCCATCAGAAGGAGAATTTTCCGCATATATAAAAGAAAGAATGATAGGTGGAGAATATCCAGAGCTAAGTGATCCGTGAATAATTTGAGGTGTGAGAAGATAAGGGGTGAAGGAGATAAAAGAAGAATCCCTTTTGAGCCAGATCCTCTAGGGTGAAGAGGGATTGTAATTATGACAGCTATCTTTATTTTCAAAAAGCTTTTGAGAGTTCAAAAACCAGGGTTCAGAAAAACTATAAGGAAGTATTTTGGCTTCTAAAACACAAAACTTTTTTAGCTTATGCTGGCTAATAAAATCTTTGTAGGCATTTACTTTTTCAAGGATTTAAAACCCTCTAACATTCCAACTAGCCGACTTGGAACAATTTCGAGGATTTCCACTTTTACTCCTACCTCCTGGTTTAATCATGTCTTGCACAATAAGGATTGGATTAGGATTTGAAGGGCAGAGGTAAGAAGGATGCACTATGGATCCACATGACTCACAAGGAGAAGACTTCCAATCATAGACAACCTTCAAGCACAACTCCTCACCATCAATCAGTAAAGGATATCCTTATGAAGGGTAGAGGTTCTGGAAATATGAATACAAACCATGACAAAGGTTAATATTGTGCGTTGGGCAGTCAAGGAATCCACTGATAATGGAAAACCAATGTAACTTGCTATTTTCAAAATACCAAGTGGAGTTCAGAGGGCAAGAAGAATGCCAAGAATTTTTACCCAAGGAGTAATGTAAGTGAACTCATCTCTTTTCGGTTTATATTTGGGGGACCACTTATATGTAATGAACGACTTCTCTAGCAAAGACCATGACCAGCATGAGTAGACCATGTTATAATTTTCCATATTTATAAATTTTAATAGAAAAAAATCATTCCTCTAGTTAAGGTAGGGATATATAACCTTTTAACGTCCATAACTTATTCATAGAAGCTAGTAGCCTTTCATAATAAGGCTTTTGACCAATGGAATATCCCACTAAAGATAAGTTCCATAGATATGTACATTCAGAGAGGTCATCCATAGTGAAGGATAGTTTTTGGCTAGGTGGAACAAAGGTCATAAGAAATTCATCCGGAATAAGCTCCGTCGGGGAGAAGTTGTTTGCCAAAGAAGTTGCATGAGCGGTATGAGGAGGGCCCAATAGAGAATCATTGGGGAGAGGGGGGAAGTCATTTAAGGCCATGAGGTTGTGGAAGGAGAGGAAAACCTCCCTAGACGGCAGAAAAATAGTGGTGGTGGAGAACCCTAATTTTTGCCCTAAAGCTCTCTCAAGTCTATTCTCTCTCGATTCGCCAATAAATTCTCTGAAAGGTGATACACTTGATAGTAGATAATTATTTTCTAGAAGTATTAAATTTTCTAGTATTTTTTTGGGAGAATTTTCTAGTATTAATGTTGTCCAATAAATGAAATAAACATTATAATCCTAACCAATTGTGTCTCATACTCGAACTATTTTTATTTTTGGTTACAGCTTTCTCAAGTCATGCATCACTTAGGCTTCGTTTGGGACCGCTTCACGGCTGCTTTACTATTTAAAATGCAGTTAAACAATTATTTGGGACGATCGCGGCAGAGCTCGTTACGAAAATTTTTGCTGCCGCTCGCTGCTTCTCACGACCGAACCTTATCTCCCGCGATCGGCTGCTTTCTGCTGTTTCGAAGCCTAAAAATGACGCTACTGCCCCAATTAGTGCGGAAGTTGCCGATCATTCCGCCATATACAGCCCTCGTCTTCGTTAGCATACCTATCTTCAGGACATTTTGATGGTGCAAATCTTCCTCACAGCCGATTATCTGAAAAGGCTAGTCATCTTCGCAATCCTCATACGCGATCGTCTCCAGCGGGCTGCATCCTCGGCTCCATTCGGTAGGAGGTCGCTCGTCAGTTCAGCCGGTATGAGATTCGTCATTCTTACCTTTTTTATTTCGCTCATCTACGATTTTTTTTTGCATTTTGCGACTCTTCTTCCCTCCTCTCACGACCACACTTCAAGCCAGCACCTCCCGCCTCCCCTATTCGCAAATCCCCATTCCTCGGTCTGTCTCCGAACGATGGAGAATGTGGAGCATTTTTTTATTTTCTTAACGAGCACTTCAACTCAGCACCCATTGCTTTTTCTACGATCTTCTGTTATACCCAGCGTTTAATTGTTTTCAAGGCGTCGACTTTTTCTACGATCTTCTGTTCAAATTCAAGCCTCCATTCCCCTTGCTACCTTTCGTTAAAGCGGCCCGAAATGAGAGCGACGGGAGGGATTTTTTCCCGTTAGTCTTTGGCTGTAAGCAAATAAAGGTTTGAGTTTTTTTTCATCTTCTTCCTTTTGTCTTTCGTAACTTTTGGGAAGAAGAGAGATTTTGAGTTTTTTTAGGTTTTTTTTATTCACTCTGGATGTAAGGTAGAGAGAGCGAGAGACGAGAAGGAAAGTTCTCTTGCTTGCGTCTCTATTCCGGTGAAAAGGAGAGAGACGAAGGCGAATTTTAGTATGCTTTATTCTGTGACTCTGTCATGGTCTTTTTGGACCTATAACATTATTAATTGTAATTTGCTTATCACATATCATTATCATTAGTTCATTAATGGAGCTTCTTCTGCATGCCCAACATGGGGATGGAGTGGTTTTCTTTATTCTATTATCATGGCCTTTGAATCTATATCAAGAACGAATTTATTAATCATCTCAAACCTTGATTATATCACAGAAATTTTTGACATTAAACAGAACTCCAACCAGAGCCTAGAGAGATTGGTCATTGTGATTTAGGCTTTAGGGTGGTTAATTGTATTAGTTCATGGACAGTTCTGTTGTGACAACTATCCAAAGACCTGAAAATTGAACTTTAAGGTCTATATTGTATCAGACAACTTTATGTATGTTTTCTCCTAATTTATTACCTTTTTTTATATCTCAAAGTAAATTGTAATTTCCTTCTAAATTATTTTAGGTACTCATATGCTATCCATTACAATCCTTCTTCAGTCAATTTATAATACAACAAGTAAGATTTAAAATGGGTAAGCCGAAAGATGGTGGACCATCCGCAACATGGGAGAAAGATGTAAAGATTATATTCTGTGATTTATGTCTAAGGGAGATTGAACTTGGTAACCGACCAACCACACATTTCAATAAAGAGGGTTGGACGAATTTAATTAAGAATTTTTATGATAAAACTGGAAGAGAGTATGATAAAGTTCAGTTAAAAAATAAATGGGATCAGTTAAAAAAAGATTGGAAATTATGGAAAGAATTGAAGCGTGGATCCACTGGACTGGGTTGGGATCCTAGGAAAAAAACCATTGACGCACCCGATGAATGGTGGAAAGAGAAATTAGAGGTAAATATTAATTTACATTTATTTCTCTCTTTGAACCTTCATATTATACTTTTTACTTATTTGAAATAAAAATTTTCTTTATAGGTTGTGCCAAATGCAAAAAAATTTAGATACTGTGGCATTGATCCTGAGCTTGAAGATAAGCTTGATCTTATGTTCCTAGGTGTTGTTGCTACCGGAGATCATGCTTGGACTCCAAACCAGGGACTCCATGATGAAAATGTTACTGAAGATTCTGAGAACATTGATGTAAGTTCTGAGTCTTTTGAAGATCCTTCACAGAAACTTGAAAGCATTAATGACTGTATTCAATTGAAACGTCCTTCATCTACAACGTCAACCGGTAGAAGGAAAAAAATCTTTGGTTCAACATTTCTAAGAAGTCAAATAACTCAGCTTGTCAATTCTTGTACCAACATTACATCAGAAACTAATGAATCAAAGTCAATACTCGAGAAATCCTCCATTTCGACTGCCATTAAAGTGCTTGAACAAACACCTGAAGTATTTGAAGACATGCAACTATATTTGTTCTCAACCAAGCTTCTCGAGGATCCAAGTAGACCTAAAAATACTTGGTTAGAAAATATTAGGAATGACCTTTCTTTATTAGATTTAAACGAGAACTTGACTTTTAATAGGACACAATGGAGAAAAAGGATTCATGTAGCCGACCCCACGTAGTGGGATAAAGGCTTGATGTTGTTGTTGTTGTATATTTACTCCTTTATTTGCTTACTCTTTTATCTGTATCTAATATTGGTATGTTATAATAATTTAAGAACATTTTTTTTTATATAAAGAAAGACATAGTACTCATGAAAGTCTCATATCATGTATATATAGATGTTTTTTTTAGAAAAAATCGATTAGCTAAGGACCTTTTTAAGAAAATTGATTAGCTAAGAAAATTTTGCGTTGGTATTGTCCCCTTTGCTCTGATACTTGTTGTAGTTATTCTTGAACAATCAAGATTACTCACAGGAAGTCAATTAAGAGCAATACCAAACTGAGAATGGAAGAATAACCAAAAGTACTAGTGCTTCATTTTGTGGATCATCAATGTTGATCAGGTATTGTTTCTTTGGCTTCTTCTTTGTAGCGAAGGAGAAGTCCTTCATGCAATGTAATTATTGGTAAAAATTGATAGGTCTGTTCTAGCCTTCCAAGGAAACAAAAGAAATGCTCCAGCCACCATGAACATTTTCAGATGTCCTTCAACTGCTTGCCTTTCAATTTATTTTTGGGATGAACTAATGCACTAGTGATTTATTCTATTTTATATTATAAGAAGACAACATCAAAAATTGTTGTTTCACTTTATTTTTGGGAGCAATTCTCGTTCTATCATGTAGCACGGTTTTGCATGTTATACACAAATCACTCAACTCTGTTTTCATATACTATTTTTTCCATAAAGTATCAGTTCTTTCCGACAAAATGCAATGACTAATTAAATTTCTAATATTCTAAGGCTTTCAATTTATTTTTGGGATGAACTAATGCACTAGTGATTTATTCTATTTTATATTATAAGAAGAAAACATTAAAAATTGTTGTTTTCAATTTATTTTTGGGAGCAGTTCTCGTTCATTGGAATACTGAATTATAATGATATATAATTCTATCAAAGCAAGAGATTCGCCTGATTGATGGTATTAAATGCTGCGAAAGATATCAAATGGATTGTGATTATCTTCTCTGCAGGTTTCTTCTTCCATAGCTTTCCGCATTCTCTACAATAAATTTTTTAACAATATGTTAGAATCTGTGCTTGCAAGTAAATAGTACTGTCATTCACATCGATTATCTTTTGTTTATGGAGTCACGATTAGTTAGAACATCACATGAAAAAGTATTTTGCCATTTCATTTCAGTGTTTCATGTTTTTCCTGCAATCATTAAATGAATCAGTTTTTTCCACGGAGCCTCACTCAAGCAATTCCATAGCTTCCTTTCGTTCAATTAGGATTCTGTAATTCTTTTTTTGAGACATTTTTTTGTGCATAGAATTAATTTAAAAGACTCATTACATATAGATACATATATGCAGGAATGGAATTGATTAATCATGTTATAAATCTTATATATTAAAAGTGTTACTTTTAATATTTGTAAAGAAATAACAACATTGATTAATCATGTTATAAATCTTATATATTAAAAGTGTTACTTTTATTCTACTAATATATCTTTTTAAATTTATGCACAGAGAAATGATATCTTTGGAGTATCTTGTTCATAATATTTCTTTACACAAGTAAATATCTATCAGTCCACATTCATTTTGTGATGGTTCTATTAATTTTTATAGCAACTTTTTTAAAAGGTGAGAGGCATGCATGCTCACCTTTACATTACAATGCTTGTCATGCATTACTATATAAATAAGATCAATAAGAAAACGAAATAACAACATTGATTAATCATGTTATAAATCTTATATATTAAACAATCTATCTACATCGTCTACATATGCACAAATACACTTGTTCTATCAAAATGGGATCTTTAAGAGCAAAGCTAGCTTGGAAATATGTACATGATAAAGACTCTATGTTGCATAAATGCTTATACCCGAAATATGGAAAGATCTGGGATCAAAATGCTGGTAAGAAATCTTGTTCACCAGCTTGGAAACTAATTAAGGATGTAGGTAGGTGTCTTAAAAAGATAGTGAGATGGAAGATAGCAAATGGGGAGTCAATTGATATCTTCAATGGTATATGGATCATGGATATGAGCCTTAACAAGTGGCCAACGTTCGTGGGGAGCATAGACTGCAATGTGAAAACTGTTAATGACTTTATAATGGAAGGAAGTTGGAATGTGGCTGAGATGAAGAAATACTTTGGTGATGAGCTAATAGAGAGAATTTGTAAAGTTCAACTTTTTTTTTCAAATAGTTAGGATGACGAACTGGAACTTATTCAAGAAGGTTCAGGTAAGTCTATTTCAGCAATGGCTTATTCGGCGGGAAATCAACATTTTGAAGAATAAAAGTTTTGGAAGTGTTTGAAAAACGCAAAGCTGAATGCAAGGGTGGAAACATTTTGGTGGAGGTTATTAAATAATGCTTTACCAACTTTCAGCTTCTTATCATACAAAAGATTGCTTTCTAATAGATATCTGAACTGCAAAAGAATTGTTTCAAATCCTATAAATAACAATTGTCTTTTAATTTATCTCATATTTTAATAGTTTTGTTTCATTTTATGGTTTTAGAATTCTCTTTGGTTTGGAAGACAACCAGACCATAACCTTCGTTTCTCCCTATGTTGAATAATTTGTTTTTGTGTCTCTTCATTATAATTTCCTAAAAAATTGTTCTTGCCCGTGACATTTCATTGGTGCATGCTAGACAATGACACATGCTCTTGGGATGGATGAAGTGATATTCTGTTACAAAATTATCTCTTGGGAAGTTCAGACATCTATTGTGTGCCTACTAGACAACGGCATTTTGAATGTGTAATGCTTAATAAGCAATAGTTAAATCTGAAAGTTCTCTCTTATAAGTTATAAGAGCATGCTGTATTTTGTTTAAGTTGTTGACTCTCATCTATTTTCCATCCGAAAGTTAACCGATAACAATTTAATTAACTATATTTTCTTGCATTTAGTGATCATCACATTACTAATTGTTTCTTTAATATTTATCAACATTAAGTAATCAAATTTACATGAAAGTCAATCAATTGCATAAAATTTTATTTTATTTTTTGTTAAAAAAATCGGAGGCAGGTAATTTGACTGTGAATATGGATGAATTTAATTTTGTGAAGATGGAGCACCAGTGTGAAGTTAATTACATTTGAAATATCGGAGGCAGGTAATTTGACTGCGAATATGGTTCTGTTGCTGTGGTGCTCAAATGGCCCTTGTTGGATAATGAAAATGTTCCCTAGGCCTCACACACCCCCCTTTGTAATTTGCAGCAATGGTTGCCAGAAAGTCCTGTTGATCAACATCTACATCAGATTAATATAAATTGGTTTTGAGTACAAAATTTTGTAGTATTTTGATATATAAAAGATTTGATAAAATTAATTAATTTTATTTAAAAAAGTAGTTGATTATTATATTTATCTAAATGTATAAAAGGGTAACCAGGTAATTTGTTGTCATACAGCAGCAGCACAACAACTCGACAGTTATGCCACCCAAATAAAATTTATTGATTTTTATACAACAACTTTAGAAAGCAACTTTCTAGACAACAACTTCACAACCTGCTCCTTAATCACATTTATTTACCGAAATGAGGCGGGGAGTCGAATGATCGGAGTGAAGAACACCATCTCAGGATTCCCAATATACGGCTTCTCTCCCCTTAATTCTATTCCCTCCCAGGCGATACCAAGCGTAAGCTAGTAGTTACTACTCCCGCCGCTCTTAACTTTTGGATTTTTGTCTTCCAGGTCTCAGAGTGCTATTTTTTTCATTTTTAGGCCTTCCTTTTTGCCACTTTTGCGATTTTTTTTTCTTTGCTGCTTGCTTCTCTCTCTTGTTTTGAGCGGGCAGAAGCGAGCTATTGCAGGTGTTGGAGTTCGTATACGCTCAAAGATGCTGTTTTTGGGTTTTTTTAGTATCATTATTTAACTGTTCTTTTTGCGCAGAGTTTCAGGTATTGAACAGTGGCTTCTGGCGGTGTGGACGTTGTGAGGATGCTATTAATGGCGGATGACAAGTTGGAAACTTGGGAAGGGTTTGGAAGCTGTTCGTGAATTGCCGAGATTCATTCTTTCATTGGCGGAGACTCAATCATTGTAAGCTATCTTCTGCCACTTAGGTTTTTTTTTTCATATTCTGCGTCGCTCATTTCATATGGAGTGAAAAAAACAATATGGGATCGATTAACCCTCTCAAGCAATGAGCTTAAGCTGTAAACCATAGAAAAAAAGGTATCGCAGGAATGCCGTGTGTAATAAGTTAATCGCATTGTGATAATTGGAATTCAAAATACCAGTCATAAAGTTGCTTAGAATTTATTGTTTTACAGTTCCTCAGAATTTAGCGGCTAAGGTTTAGGGAGAAGGGGGAAGATGCTCGGCGACTACAAGAAGAAGGGGAAGGCGAATAGGAGTAGAGCGATGCCCTAGGTTTTCCTTGTTCTGAATGAAGGTGAAATGGGAATTGTGGGAAAGAAAATCAAGCAAAAATCCCGATTGCATTAGGTAGTGCTAGGTGAAGTCGTGCCAAGGTAGGTTTGTCGCTATGTCAACGAGTTGGGGTTTATAGGTCGGGGTCTTTATCTTTTTGAAATCCCTGTATCAAAGTAGTCCAGGTTATAATGCTTATTTTTTAAGTAAATTGAGGGCAAGGCCCATTCATTTGCTATGAAGAATAGTTACAAATGAAGAAAAGAAATATAACTCAATACATATAGAAAGAAGACCCTTGAGATGCAACAAAATTGAACATGCTCAAACCCACCAAAAAGAGAAATAATGAAATATAGGACATGAAAGTATAATACTCTTGAATGAGAAGGGCCAGTACTGTCCATTAATGAATCATTGTGAAGATCAAAACCAAGAGCCCCAGATGCCATTAAGGCCTTCTACGGGCTACGAGTGACATTGGAAGGGACAAGTCCCTATCATATCCAGTTAGGCACGAATAAAAAAGAGCTGCTCATAGTAGTCTTTAGCGATAAGTTTTTGGATTATAGCCTTTTGAATATTATGATATAATGTAGACATGCAATTGATCTTATTTTCAAACCTTCTAGTATTTCTTTCTCTCCATAAAGTAAATGACACATCATAGAGATTGGAATGAGCTGTCTTTAGTGCAGGTAGGTATATTATGTATATCATAAATCATTTTGAAAACCTGGTGAATGTTCGGTCTCATAAGAAAGGAATCAGCAGCATGTAGAATATTGCAAAGGATTGCAAATGTGTAATCACATTCAAAAAATAAGTGTATAGGGCTATCATCAACTAGAGAATAAAAAGAACAATTCTAGTGAGAATGAATAGAACGAAGAGATAAAGTCTTATCAATTTTTAAAACACCTACCATGGCCTGGCAAGCATATGCGTAAAATCATAAAGATCATCTTTTGCACCATATATATTTCTACCACGAGACCCTAACATTGTTGGCATAGTAAGCTTGAATAAATCTCTTAAAATTAGGCTTTGGGGAGCTAGAGAACAAAATCGAATCACTTTCCACAATATCACCAATATTTATCTTAGAGATAATTTCAGGATTAGCAGCAAGGATAAATCTTGGGGTGCGCTATCTCCCATTTATAATGATAGAAGAGAGGGGGGAAAATATTCTGTTCAGGTGACATAATAGATACATCATTTATCTCAGATAAACTTATCCTATTTTCCCAAGGATCCCAAAGATGGGAGAGTTTTCCCCCATCTTTAACAAGATATTTAACAATAGTCTAATAGTGGAAACCACCATTTTAATACTTTCCTAATATTTAGAGCCTTTAACAATATAAACCTTCCAAATAGAACCATATTTGCCTCTCCGCCATTTAGATCAAAAACTTTGAGCCTCCTATAGTCTCCAAATCAAAGATTAATTGTCGGAAAAAATCATGGCAAGGAAAGCAAGTAAACTAAGGCCACCAAATTCTATAGGTTTGCAAGTGTTAGATCATGAGTTTGTGGTGGATGTCCCCATGATACAAGAACCTAGAGCAAAGATCATTTAACATTTTATAGGAACTTTTAGGTGAGATTTCTTCTCTGATCTAGTATGCTATATTGTTCCAAATAGTGAATTTTGGATATTGTAATTTTATTTTAAAAAGAGAGCCTTTGCTTTTCAACCATCTAGCAAATTGGAAGCTTTGTTCATAGCGGAGAGAAGTCTTGAGTGTGGATCCTCTTCATGGAAATGGGGATCCCTATGTAGGTGATTTTTTGATTTGTATTTGGGATATGGTGCACCTGGTTTAGATCAAGCTGGTTGGTAGTGTTGTTGGAGAAGATGGTAGTGTTGTTGGGGAAGATAATGGATCTCTTAGCATAATTAATATCTAAACTAGATAGAAGTTTAAAGTGATTGAGAATGTCCTTTAGAACTTAGAAGATTTTGGTTGTTGGCCTTCCCAAAAACAAGTAGGACATCTGCATACAAAATATGAAAAATATGAAGGCCCCCAAAATATGTAGCAAACTAATTATTCTTCTTGATTCCTTGTAGAAAAAGATTAGAGAGATCATCCATGATAATACAAAATAAGTATGGAGAAACAGGGGCATCCTTTCCTTATTCCAAAAGAAAAGGAGAAAAAGTCTTCAAGATTTTCATTGATTTATATGGAATAATGGACATTCTCAATGCAGGCTTTGATCCTTCTAATAAACTTGTTTAGGAACCCTTTTTATTGTATTCTTGTAAGAATAAAGTCCCTGGAGATAGTATCGAAAGCTTTGAAGATATCAATTTTCGCACAGAAGAAGTTTGCCTTTTTTATTTTTTTGAAATCATCAATAATTTCCTTAGCCAATGTGACATCATCTGTAGAAATTCTTTTGTGAATGAAACTTGCTTGGCTAAGATGAATGATGTAAAGCATGATGAAATTAAGTCTGGCTATAAGAAGTTTTACAATAATTTTATATAAGGTATTATGAAGAGATACTATTTGCATGTTGAATTTTCGGGATAAGAGTAATCCCAGCGGCTTTAAAAATATCACCCAATACCACCCAAGGAAGGTTTGTTTGGGGACCAATACTATTGATAGTGGACCAGAGGTTCGCTCTATCAGATGGAGAATTTACAGCATATACACAAAAAGAATAAATGTTTGCTTATAGCCATAGTGAATCTGCCCATGAATGAGTGGATTGTCGGTATACATGGGGTTAAAGGAGATTTTGTTTGCATCCCATTTGAGCCAAATTCTCCCCGGCTTGGAGAAAGAGAATTTATAACAACTTCCTTCAAATTCAAAAAGGGAATGCATATTGTAGAACCATTGATCATTGATTTGATCACTGTTGATTTTCCTTCCAAAATAAAAAAAAGAAAGATTGCTTGACCAAATCATATCCTCGCAAAGTAGAACATGATCTGTTCCATGAAAGACTCTCACATCCAAGAGGCAAACCTCAGGTAGGAAATTAATTTTTGGAGTAGATGGTGGCCAATTTTTGGCCTTAGGATTGACATTTTTGTTTTGGGTTAGGGTGTGATTATATGAGATGGGTGTCCCACTATAGCAAGGGAGAGGTTGGTGTCAGTTTCCACTAAGTTTTCATCAGTAGTGTTTAGAGCAGAAGTGATTGTGTAGGTCTTGTTTAGAGGAACTTTTGTAGGATTTGTAAGGTTAAGTTGATATGAAGCAAATGTAGGGGGTTAAGTGTGACTTTTGTCATTAGAATTCTCAGTTTAGGTTATAACACGATACTTATATTTGAGGGGCCTATTTGATAGGAGATTTTTTTCGCGGGTTTAGCTTAAATCCTTTCAAGTGGTCATTTGGACAAAATAAATTGTCTGTAAATTTAAACACGGCTACACGAACAACAAGAAGGTGAAGTTTAAGTGACATGAAACAATCACTGAATCAAAATGAAGGAACAATTGTCATTTATGCGCAGAATGTGTTTGATCATGAATCCACAAATGTGACATACTTTCCACATAGATCGAATGAATTTGGTAAATTTTTTTATCAATTACACACTAATAGTCATTCATTTCATGTATCATATAACATATTATCATAATATTTATGAGAAGGTTGTACATATTTAGTATTTTCTTGATATGCTATATGAACTTTGGCTGAATTAGCACAACAGGCAAGTTAAATACCATATAAAAGAAAATGTTGAAAGGGAAGATAGTACATTGTGGTAATTCTAGTTCTCAATATGTTGGTGATGATGTTTCATAATATGGTTGAGTCGAGGAACTCAAGTAAAACCCCAAAATGACTTGAGCATCATATTGTCTTTGTGTAATTTCTTATGGAGCAAGTTCTTTATGGGGATATTTATAGTGGAGTGCTTGAGAGGCATATGTGGTGTGATATTATGATCTTGCTTAATCAAAATTTGGGCATGTTGCACGCAAAGGTTTCTATGATGACTAGGTTTAAAAATATGAATGTCGACTTTAGCATGTTATACTAGTTATCCAATAGAAGCAGTTTGGGTTGAGATGCTCAATTATATATCCTAATTGCATCTGATTAAATTCCAAGGGCTATTAGAGCGATATTTTATAAGAAATTATGATGGTATTAACAATGTCACATAATTTTATGTTGAATTGACCTTTCTTTATTAGATTTAGATGAGAATTTGGCCCTTAACAGGACACAATGGAGAAAAAAGATTCATGTTATAGACCCCACATAGTGGGATAAATGTGGGATAAAGGCTTGTTGTTGTTGTTGCTGCTGCAATAGATGAAATTTGAGATGAAATAATACATGTATAATTTTTTGTTTAGAAGTTGTAAATGCCATCAATGAAGTGTATAGTTTCTTTCATTATTAATAACTTATTGTAGTAGCACCCTAAACTTGTTCTCTTTCAAAGTAACCGATTCCATTAATGAAGTTTTCGAGAAATTTTTCGTTAAAACATCACATTAGGCATAGAAATTTGAAGTACATGGAATCACTTCACCATACAGGACACAATGGATGAGATAGTTGTTGAGCCTATTGGCGATGACTTATGTCAATCAATGGAGTTAGCTTAATCAATCAATTAACTGGTGCACCCTCCCAAGCCTACTTTGTAGATGATGTTGTCCAACCAACTAACCCCACATATGGGCAGTGAAGTAGGACCAAACATGATAGTGAAGAGAAGATGTAGATCACATACTACACGAAGAAGCATTCTAAGGAGGCGCTTGATAAACTCATGACTAAAATAATGAAAATGCTAATATTTTATAGAAATCACTTAATCGATACACTTTTGACACAATAAGTGCCTACAATGCCATGCATCATTGAGAATATTTAAACTTAAGAGATTTTATCTATCCATGATGTTATAAAGGAGTATAACAATAATAAATTCACACTAATGACATGGGATGGGCAGATGCTTCATGTTTATATTGAACACCTCCATATAACTTATCCTCATTGTCATTCTTTCTCTGCTTGGTTGTGGCCTAGTTTGTATTGATCACAGTTACTTCTATCACAGTTTGTATTGATTTAGGTTTCTTTATAAGCATTCCAGTAGTTATTTGATGGTGTATCTATGTAATAGCCTAGTTTTTTCAAATGATTTTGTCAGTTCTCTCCTATTGATATTTCGCCTGTGCCTTTTTTATTTTTATTTTAGGTTTGCAATGAATGTTGACTTTAGATAATCAACTTTTAGTGACATGAAACAGTGCTTAATTATTTGAGAGCCACTTTCCCTGATGCTATTTGTGAAATAATCGATAATTTAATGAGTTAATTCTTACTATTATGGAGCACAGTTGCTCCTCAGATGATGAGGTATTCATTCGGAGACCTATGTTTGATAAGTGCGGCATACACTGGATGCCAGTACATAGTGGATGTAGTGGTTCGTTATCCACTATGATCGTATAACTGTTTTAGGTTATTATCCGAGATATTCTTGATATCTCATTATGGAAACAATACATGCAATCTTTTGGAGGATATCTTCTATAAATGTTGTTACAATGAATTTTCTTCCTTGAACGAAATTTTGAAATGAGGTGACCTCATCGTAAAAAAAACATATTACATTTGTCACTATCATGCGAATTAAGACATTTGGAGTAAAAATGAGCATCCCTTGTTCCTCATGTTGACTTCCATCTATATGGTTTAAGAGAACAAGCCTTTTTCAACACATACAAAATTTGAATAGCTCTCACCTGTGAAAATTTGAACTCTTCCCTTGTGTGTTTTTGCTTTGAACCGCGAAAGTTTTGTGCTTGATTTCTCATGCATTTATTAAGACTTTAGATTTCTCTAAGGAAACAGTCAAGTGTGGTGGGGCGCCATTTAAGGGCTTTAAGGTGATGGAGAGATTCTTTATAATACGTCTACCTAGGAAAATAGTCTATTGCCTCTTTTCTTGGGCAGTTTTCGTTTTGTTGTCTTTTGTCTCCTTTCACCATGATAGGTATCTAATGATGTTGCTCCAATTTGGGGGAAAAAAATTCATCTACAGTGATACATGTTACCTATTTTACTCTCTTTAATAAGTAAAAATTGCATCAATTTCTTTCAACAAGAATATCCTCAGGTCTTTAACTTACTACGAGGGATCGGCTATATGAATTCTTTTTCTTTATTATGTCCTATTTAGAGTCAAATTTACATTTAAGTCTAATAAAATTTGTCATTTATAATAATTTATAGGCAAACCTTTTTAGGTCTACCTCTACCTTTCTTAACATAGGCCATATCTAATAAATCTACTCATCTAATTGGGTCATTGAAAGGTTGATATTTATATCACTTTCTCGGAATGATTAAATATCCCTTTTTTATGTTGGTTTAACTTCGTAGATATTTTATTATTACTATAACTCCTTTGTAAGTATTTATTTGAAGGCAGATGAATGGCCGAATGATCCTTAAAGCATGTGTAAGAAGGCCTTAAGATATAACATTCTTGTATCTAGGTATCATAATCCTTCTATCATGATTTTTAAAGTATTTGCACCTTGCTACCATTATTTTAACTTGTGCAAGGTAGCTGCATTAGGAAATGAAATGAAAAAAAAAAAGAAGAAGAAATGGAAATGGTAAAGTAATTCATTTAAAAATTGTTTTCACCCACTTATTTTATTGTGTCAAAATTGAATGAAATGTTGGCCATTAAAAGAGAAACATAAATTTAAGTATTGCAAGATGAGGATGCTCAGGTGGACGAGTGGCTTTACTCTTATAGATAGAATACGAAAAGAGCATATACGTGATAAGGTTGGAGTAGCTCCAATGGAAGATAAGATCAGAGTCACCTTAGATTGTTTGGTCACATAAAGCGTCGGCCTTCCGATGATCCGGTTAGGAGAATAGATGTATTAGATTTGGCTTATGTTAAGAAAGAAAGAGGTGACCTAAAAAGGCTTGGTTAAGAAATATTAGAAATGATCTATCTTTAGTAGATTTAAATGAGAACTTCACTCCTAATTGGACACAATGGATAAAAATGATTAATGTAGCTGACCCTATGTAGTGGGATAAATGCTTGATGTTGTTGTTGTTGCCTCTTGCTCGGTTTGATGAGAAATTATGTTTTTGTTTCTTGTGATCAGGAGAAATTATTATTATTATCATTAATTTTTTTGTGAGATGGGGATATGTGTGTCATAACGAAGACCAACTAAATTTTTGTTTTCTTTTTCACTGTAGCTGATATGGAATTGTCAAAGGAAATATGCATTTGTTTCCATTTCCCGAAATGTCTATTAACCTATTGATCACATCGAAACAAAAAAAACAAATATGAAATTATGAAGTAAAATATATTTATATTTTCTTTGTTTTCTTCAAATCGGAACTGTCCCTTAGTATTTGGAGTATTGGGATTGTAGAGATTTTGAATCCACTGTTGATACATTGACTTGATTGGAACCCGATTTTCCCGACTTTGAATTCTGTTGTGAAGATTGACTAATAGTTCACATTTCCCATACAATTGTATATTTCACTAGATGGTTGTGTTAACAGCTTTGTATCATTTTGATGCTATTTCCTGTTCTAGTTGTTAGTTTCTAAGCTTTTCCTAAGAATGCTTGCAACATTGATTGCTTGTGTTTTCTCACTCCTTTTGCTTATCCTAAGAATGCTTGTAACATTGATTGCTTATGTTTTCTCACTCCTTTTGCTTATTATTGTCTTACAGTCAAAATCATTGTTTTGCAACAAAACTTGTAGTTCTGCCATTTTGGCCTGTACATCATACTTTGCGTTCAGATTTTGTTGCATAATTTAATGTTCTGCCCTTTTTAAAAACTTCATTTGTTTCTGTTCCTAATATAATTTATGCCATTCTGATCCAAAGGTGAAGATACAACAAGCAATTGAATTTAGATATTATCTCCAGTTGAGACAAAACAAAAAAGCATCCCGTGGAATAAAGGTAACTTTTGGTCATGGCTTTGTTTTTTCTTCATTTTTAATGAAATCTAAAACTTTGGTAGCATTCAAAAAGTGATGAAAGCCGCAAGTTGTAGCTACAATTAGGGCAACTGTTGTACTAATTAGAATCTTCAATGCTATGCTTGATCCATCAAATTGTGTAAGCTGATTGACAGAATGTTGGATAAATTAATGATGTAAAATGAGTCACACACAGCAATATTTTTATCCTATAAGGCGTTTAACAATTCAATTGACAATAAACTTAATTTGTACCATCAACCTGTACTATTTTGATGCTTTAATTTGCAAACAATCATATTCAAATTAATTTGAGTAATTTATCATAATGAATTGGTGCATTTGAGTGCCATTCTTTTGCATCAACAACTTATGGTATTTCTAATCAAATGCATTCTTAGAAATTATTCTTTTAACTTATTTGTTGTCGGTACTATGCATTATCTCAGCTCTTATTAAGTATGTGAAGTGCTATTTCATTAAAAAGATGAATCTTATTCTTTTAATTATGGTTGTGAAAATTGGATCGGGCATAAAACCGAAAAAGGAGATGCTCGATTTAAGAATATGAGTTGAATTGGATGATGTAATAAATACTAAAATTATTTAAATAATATGTAAATGACATACTAATGATATAATAATTATGCAAAAATATAAATTTATGATTAAAAAATAAATAAATTCCATACACAAATAATATATTGTACAAATTTTAAATTTAAATATTATCAATCTTTAAATTTAATTCAAATTTATATAAAATTAGTTCACATATAAATTATAAAATTAGTTTAAAAATATTGCTAATTTGTGATATATATATGAGTAAAGAAGTAACTTGAAATGATGGGGCTATATGATAAAGCTTGATTGATGCTTATTTAACAAATAATTATCATTAAAATCTAACTCATATGAATCATGTGGTTTTTAAAATTAAAATAAATCAAATTTAAATTAATTCATTAATTCAAATATTCTATATTAACATTTATTAAATTAATTTATTTAATTATGTAAATAATTTAATTAAAAACATGTGGTTTTTAAAACCGACACCGATCAATCGGTTGAACCTCCGGTTTGACACGGTTCAAGCTAGTTCGATCTGAAATTGGTTTTGGGAATTTACTAATCAAACCAGCTAACCAGTTCCTGGTTGAACCGGCCGGTTCGGTTTTTAAAATCTTATTTTTCATTATTACTTCCTCTAGGTTAGAAAAAATATTTTAATTGAAATGTATATCCTTCTTTGTAAGTGCCATGCTATGTTTTAAATGAGTTTATTCTTTCTCGAAACTTATTTTCTCCATTTACAGCTTCCTTACCCACTCAAACTCATTTGTGGCTTATATTTTGGCACTCTACTAGCAAATCGTCTTTTTGAGTGGCATTTGTGATTGGTAACGACTGAAACTTGATTCGAGGACAAACACTTGAGGGAAAGGCATTTTACTTTGTAAAACCTTTATCATTTATTTCTTTGATCTAAACATATTTTGTAAGAGAAGTTCCATTTGGTTTGAATTAAATTCAATCTTTTGGAGCAAAAGTTTCTGGAATAAAAGATCTTGCAATTTTATTAATTAAATGATAATGATCTTATTTAAATTTTATTAATTTATTGATTGTTGTATGTTTTCTTGCATGTTGTGTGAGGCTATATATATGCATTTATTGTTGTTTTTATGCTCCTCAAGCAACTAATGCATCTGATTGTACTCTCTCAGAGTAATATGATGATTCATTTCATGCTATTAAATAAAGGACGGACAATACTTTATTATGAATCATTTAAGATGTCTGAGGCTAGAGAGTGCTATAGAGCACTAAAGAGTAGTGCCAGAGCATTAGAAAATAAAAGAGATGTGGATGAGTGTGGAGAAGTTTGACGCCAACCCCCTATCTATAGGGAGAGGGAGACGGTTGAGTTGATGGGGAGTAAAGGGGAATTTATTGAAATTTCTTATTACTCAAGTGATTTATATGGTCCTATGAAGCAAGGTGATGGGTAGAGGGTTCATGGGATTCACTACTCAAACCATCTATTTTTATCCAGTCAATTGCTACAATGATTTTCATGCATTTAGGCAAGACTCGATAAAGTGGAAATCACCCATCGCTTTGGCTATTAGATCTTTTTCTTTTCATTTCGTGTTCCTGATAATAAAAATAGTTAGTGGTGAAATTAAAATGTGCAAAAAAAAAAAATATAAAATCTTTATTATAAGAAATTATTATATAAATAAAAACTAAAAAAAATTGAAAATATAGAGGGTCTCGTAGGGATTCTATGAAAGCAGTATTTGATGTAAAGAATTTAGCCTTTAATGATTTACATGATATATAATATATTGAGGGAGAAAGATGCATGTATAAGTTAGCCAAGCAATGAGATAGGAGAAGTAGATATTTAGTTCAACTGAAATACATTAAGGATGAAGATCAAAAAGTGCTTTTCTTAAAAGGGGATATTCAAAATACATGGATGAGATATTTTAATAAACTTTTCAATGAAAATTATGAGAATAAGATTTATTTTAGTGATCTTTGCATCCTAAATAAAAATAGATATTTTTGTTTTGTCATATTAGTAAATTCGAAGTTGAAGAGGCTTTAAAAAATTGAAGTGTATAAAAATAGTAGGATCTAATGATATTCTAATAGAAGTGTGGAAATTCTTAGGAGATTAAGGAATTTCTTAGCTTATTAAAATTTTTAATATTATTTTGAAGACAAAATATCAATATAGGTGGAGAAGGGGTGTGTTGATTCCTGTTTTTAAGAATAAAAGTGAAGCACAAGAGTATGCGAATTATAGAGGAATTAAGTTTGTGTCATACACTAAAATTATGAGAGTAATTGAGCATAAGTTAAAATTTGGTACTAATGTTTCTCAAAATCAATTTGGATTCATGTCGGATAAGTCTACTATGGAAGCACATTTGTTAAGAGATTTGATGGAGAAGTATAAAGAGAGTAAGGTGAATCTATATATGATATTTATTGATTTAAAGAAAGCATATGATAAAGTTTTGAGAGAAGTGCTCTGGAGAGTTCTAGAGAAGAAATGAGTTAATAATATTTATATTGAAGTAGAGAAGAAATGGGTTAGTAATATTTATATTGAAGTCATTAAGGATATGTATACATGAGCTATTACTTTTGTTCAAATGCAAGGTGATTTAACCAAGTATTTTCTTATTTCAGTTGTGTTACATCAAAATCAAGTTTAAGCCTATATCTTGTTGCTTTAGTCATGAATGTTCTTACTAGACATTTGCAAGAATGATGTACTTTGGCGTATGGTTTTGCTAATGATATTTTTCTTCTTGATAAAAATAGAGAGGTTGTTGATGAACTTGAATTATGGAGTTGACCTTACTATGGGTGCAACTGAGTCAAGTCGACTCGCGAGCCGCCTTAGGCTCGACTCAATAACGAGATCGAGAGTCAAGATTATCGAGCTCATTGTATAGTTGAGCTCGAGTTCAAAACAACCAAAGCTCTGTTTGATTGCTCACAAGCTGGCTCGGATGCCTGGCGAGAACCTGAAATATCTGGTGGGATTTGGGAAGGCTGAAGGCGGGAATGTGAAATGTCTGGTGGGAATGTAGATGCTTGGCAGGAACTCGACTTCGGACGTATGAAATTCGCTAACGGAAACAAAATCCTGACTGAAAAGTCGTTCAAACTTCACCGTTCTGAAAATTGAGAAAGGCGGAATGTGCCTTACCTTGTGTACAACACTTTCTCGAACAATCTTGTCGGACGAAAACGGCCCGGCGTCGCCCGAAAATCAACTTTTCCAAAATTGCCCTCGACCTTCTCTCTCCTCAGCTGAATTTAGATATTTATTTTGATTTTCTCTCTCTTCAAAATGAGCTGATTTCAACTTTAAAATACTCTGATCGGCCCGGCCGATCGCATGATCGTCCTGACGATCTGAACAAATTCCACATTGTCCTGGGACGATTTCGCAGGACGATAATTAATTTCCATGACGATTTGCTCTCTCACTTTTGCCATACACTGATCGTCCCGTGGGATCGTCCCGGACGATCCCAGATCGGCCAGGACGATCCCTACAGGAAATCATTCCTGTAACTTCTGGACAGAAACTGGAACAAAATTTACACTAATCGTCCTGGGACGATCCAGATCGGCCCGGACGATCCTGGAGCAGATTTGATGTTACAGAAGCAGATGTGACGAAGCTCTAACGAGCCGCTCGATGGGATCATTTTAATGGCACAAGGCAAGCTCAAGCTCGGCTTCTGAGATTGACTTGAATTTGAGTTTGATATTTGGATAGCGAGTCGAGCTCGAGCTAGGTCTGACTCGAGCTTGACTTGACTCGTTTGCACCTCTAGACCATACAGTTTGAAGGATTTCATTTGAGTAGATTTAAAACTAAATTAATGGATTGTAATTTTAGTAGTATTTGATATAGTGGTGGGATTGTGACGTTGGGCTATCAAGTCATTAAAAAGAGTGGAGGTTTTTGATATCTTGGGTTTCTTGTTCAAAGTGATTGTTAAATAGCTAGGGATATCATTAGTAGAATTTAAGTTGGATGGTTGATGTGGAGGAATGCAGTGGGCCTATTATGTGATAGAAAAATACCTCTCTAACTTAAGGTAAAATTTAATAACATGTTGGTGAGAACTGCAACGCTTTATGGTGTACAGATGTTTGTTATTAAAAGAGAAGCATAAAATTAAGTTAAAGTGTTGTAGAGATGAGGATGCTCAAATGGATCAATGGCTTTACACTTACAGAGAATGCGAAATGAGTATATACGTGAAATGGTTGTAGTAGCTTTAGTGCTAGAGAAGATTAGCTAGAGCCGCTTTAGATGGTTTGGTTACATAAAATGTTGGCCTTCTGATGACATTATTAGGAGAGTAGATGTATTTATCTGTATGTTAAGAAAGGTAGATATAGAAGACTTTGTTAGAGATTATGAAAAATGTCATTTTTTTATTAGATTAATGAAAATTTAACTCTTAATAGAACATAATGATGAAAAATGATTCATATAGTCAATTGCTAGTAGTGGGATAGAAGCTTATTGTTGTTGTGTTCCTTTAATTAATTTTAATTATTTACAGAATCGTTGCATTCCTACTTCATTCATCAAATTTCTACTAAAATATTGAAATTTACAGCAAAGCCAAACTTGTGTGTGTGTGTGTGTTTTTTTTTTTTTGTTAAATCCCAACGGATTTATTGTGGGACATGCAAATGCACAAGTTTAATAATTCATTTATTTAGGGTAGGTGCTAAATTTATGAAAATGCATGATTTGGGTGGCATTTGCACAATTTTCCCTAGAAGAAATTATTTCCTTTTAATTATTTACCCACTTTCATGAACAGAAAAGGAGAAAGGGGGGCTGGCAAGCTATGATGCACAAACACGGACACGGTGACATGGATACGACATGACACGGACACGGGACAGGTTAGTTATTGTAAATATAGGACACGGACGTGGGTTGGACACGGTATTATAGTTTTTATATTTAAAAAATAGTGTATAAAAATTAAATAAGTATAATTTTTAAAATAATTTGAAAATAATAATTCATTTAACTAGAATTTGTGCTTAAAATGATTAGTATTAGGATGTCGAGAGTTAGACGTCAATGCCGTTTATCAGTCACCGAGAGAGGAGATGAAAATACCTTCCCTGTCAAAAAGAAATAAAAATGAGAATATTCGATTATTGGGTATTAAGTGTGGACGTTGATTCGGTGTTGTGGATAGGAAATAAGAAATTTAGTTTAAATCCCGCCAAATACAAGAAATTATATTTAAAAAAATTATAAAATATTTAAGATACGCGTGTCAGACACGCGTGTCCAATTTGTATTTAATATTTTTTAATCGGACACATTTTCGGCGTGTCCGATACATGTCGGAGGAGTGTTGGGCGAGTATCGTGTCGTATACGGTGTCGGACACTGCATGCCTCTTTGAGGGAAAGTGTCGGTGCATCATAGTTGGTAAGTGGTACAATGGTAATTAAAACATGAGCGTCTGGGACAACAAGCTTACCTTGCACGCTATTGTTAAGTTTCACCTCCAACACATCTAGTCACAAGTAATAGCTAGGCAAATAAATCTACTCCCGTCTTAAAAGAAGAATTTGCAAGATGGCTTCTTTTTAATTACTGGTTTCCTCGTGTGGCTCAGGTAAAAGCTTTGTTTTCTAATAAGCATCATCAAAATCCTTTTTGGTTTTCTAGGATTGAACTCTTTTCTTTTAATAGTCTAGTTTTGGAAATTCACTGTAGAATGTCATTCATAAATTGAAATCCGACAAATTCAGCATTTTTTTTTTGGGACATTTAGGTCATTTAAGGCAAACTCACACACACAACGCATACACAAAGACTCGAACCCAAGACCTCTTAGCTGGAAGCATAAGCTCTCAACCAACAAGCCAAGGTGAGCTATGTAATTCAGCATTTTCATTTGGCTTCTTATTTGCATATGTTCCTCGGCAGTGGCGGATTGAAGGGGGGCCCACGGGGGCACGTGCCCCCCCTAGATAAATTGAAAACTGTATATTGGCTTTAAAATAAGACTTCGTTTGAGACGGCTTTTTTACTGCTTTTTAAAACGGAATTTTAGTACAATTTTTTTTATTTTTGTACTAAAACTCCGTTTTAGAAAGCAATAAAAAAACCGTCCCAAACGAAGCCTAAATCCCTTCTTTCTAAAATTTCCCCTCGGTAAATAGGGAAACCGACTGCTCGTCTGCTCCAGTGCTCGTACTCATTCGCCTCCCTACTTGGTAGCGATGCGATAGTGCGACTAGGGCACGCACACCTTGTTTTCTCCTACGCTTTTGGCCGCCCTGTTCGCACCTCCCAGTCCGGCAGTCCTCCGCTCGAAATCGAAGCCAGTAAGGTAGTAAGCCGCGATAATTTCGTTCGGTCTCCGGCCCTCCACAGCTGACAGCTTCACTTCAAGTTTTAGGTAATCTAAAATTTTTCTGCATGATTTAACTGTTGAATTTCATGGTTGAATCTTGTCTATTTGATTTTTTGCCGCAGTGGCTGTCTAGAAAGTCAGCATATTGATTTTTTTGCCGCAGTGGTTCTTATCTATCTGATTCCTAGTAGTTTTTTATTGTCTTTTTTGATCGGTGAAGTATGGAGAGGATTTTCTTTGCTGAAATTTAAAGTTGATTATCTGCCATTACCTTATTCCTTGTAGCTTCTTTGAATGATGTCGTAATGATTTTACCTTTTCCCCATTATAAATCTCTGCATTTGCTTTTATGTGGAAAGGACCTGCTTGTTCGATCTTATGAGTTGATCGGGACATATAATTTGTAAAGATCTTGATCGGTTGACTTTTGCAAAATATTAACTAGGTTTTGTTATGGAGAAGTATTTTAAGAAGATTTCGCAAAGTGCTAGTGAGGCAAACAAAGAAGCCGAGGAGCAAAATCCAAAAAGAATTCGGATTGAAATTGAATCATCAAGAAGTAAATTTAGAGAACCTTCCATCTGATCCTGGGTTGCGAATTCCTATTTATGAATATTCTCCTAATATTCAAGATCAAGTTCGTCGGGCTTACTTGCAAAACGATCCATTCCAACCTCACATTCATGAATTTCCTAAAACTAAATTTGGGGTAAAGGATAGACGATTCAATGCTATGTGGTTTGATAAATATTCTAATTGGTTAGAATATAGCATATGCAAAGATAAGGCGTATTGTTTATATTGTTATCTATTTAAAGCAGCAGGCAGAGGAAATGAGGATGACGATGCATTCAATAAAAATGGATTTTCAAATTGGAAAAAATCAAATAGATTTGACCTTCATGTTGGGAGTCATAATAGTGCGCACAATATTGCACGACGAAATTGTGAAGACTTAATGAATCAAAGTCAGCATATTGGTTTTTGTTGACCTAAAACTATCGTCCATTCAACGGCTTAGACTAAAACTACCCAAGGCAATCAACCACTCAATCCACCTCAGCCACGATCAACCGCACATAACCGCCCACGATCACACTCTTCTCGGCAGAAACCGCCTCTCACGACACAAAATGACCCCCTCCTCTCAATCGGGACTCACGCTCTCAAACAAATGCACACAGAAACTCATGCGATCAGAATCGAACCGAAAAGAAGATTTTGTGACTTACCTCAGAGCTCTCGATCTCCGGCACTCGACATCGACTCGGCCAAACAACTCCAACCATAGTCACCTCTGACCTTGCCTCCGTCGACCTCCAGTCCCTCTACAACTCTCAAGCCGATCTCCGACCGACGCCCCCTCCATCTCCGACTTTAGACGGCAAAGCCGTCGTGCCCTAGGTCCACTTGATCTACTCATTTGCTTCGGCTAAGCCCCGCCAACTCCAGCCGACCCTTCGCCGACCAAGGACAACGGCAGCCGCCTGACCCGCCGTCGACCTGGCCACCGACTCCCTCGCCTCCGTGCGTGACTTCCTCTGATGCTTGCCCGATCGGGCTTCTTCCGCCTCCCATTCTATATTATATTAATATTATAATATATAGTATTATATATATATATATATATATATATATGGAGCTTGGTATTGCTTAAAGTTTAGTCTTAATCTGCTGTGGAATCTGGCAGTTATTTGGTGGTATACAGAGATATATGGAGCAATTTCCTGATGGTGGTTTCTTTAAAGGAAAAAATTTTGTCTTTGATCACAGGTATGCTTTTATCTTGTTTTTATAGATATTCAGTTTCAGAGTTTCTTGATGTAAACTATTCTATAGTTTAGTCAGAAATTTTGTATAATATCCACATGTAATGCTACAGGATTTCTGTTGGAAGTCAGGACAAGGATGTGCTCGGAACCTGTCTTATATGTGGTTCTCCCTTTGATGATTATTCATCTCGTTGTCGGTGTTTCTACTGCAGAATGTTGGTTTTGGTTTGCTATAATTGTCAGGTTGGCTCCTTCTCCTACGCCAGTGCAAAATTATATTTAAATGTTCAAGAATCTTTCATTACACTCTTCTGGTCATACAAGCAGGAACTTTACTAGTGATACTAGCAGTAAAACCTTTGGCAATACTGTGTTCTTAACATATCCTCATTTTCTATGACTAGTACAGTCTATTCAGTGGACAAAACTGTTTAACATTAGCTCATTTGTCGGACATTGCTGCTTCAATTCGTCCTGATATAATTATTGCTTTAATTATTGTGTCAACACTGATATTCAGGGCAATTATAGAGGAAGATACATATGTGAGCTGTGCCAGAAACACGACAATGTAGAAAAGCCCGTTCCTCTTGTGCAAAATAGTCAGTTGCATCAGGAACTCTCACAGGAGTCATTTGATGTTACTGAGACTGAAGCAGAAACTTCACATGATAGCAGTGCAAAGCCTTGTCGTGAACACTCTACTATATCAGGTAAGGTCTGTATTCATTTATAGAAGGCACAACAAACACCAATTATAACAAACTTAGGCTTCGTTTGGGACGGCTTTCTTTCTGCTCTTTAAAGCAGTTTTTTAGTAAAAAATTTTAAAAAACTACTTGAAGAAGCAATAAGAAAGTCGTCCCAAATGAAACCTTAGTTTATACAAATAAAAAATTCTTGATATGCATCTTTCTCTTGTCCCATAGTTTTTGATCGCCGCAGGAAGCTAAGAATCCTGTGTTTGCATGGCTTCCGACAGAATGCTTCAAGTTTTAAGGGAAGAACATCATCACTGGCCAAAAAACTCAAGAATAATGTCGAGTTCATCTTCATTGATGCTCCTCATGAATTACCATTTATTTATCAACCAACTGAACAACAAATTTCTCCTGTACTCTTGGAGAAGTGCAAGAAAAGATTTGCATGGCTCATTTCTCCTAATTCAACATCATCGGATGAAAAAGAACAACAGTTTGATCCTTTTCAGTATAAAATGCAAACTGAAGGATTTGAACTGTCATATTCTTACCTACAAGATGTGGTCTTAAAAAATGGTCCGTTTGATGGAATCCTTGGATTCTCTCAGGGAGCAGCCATTGCTGCTTTGTTTCTTGAGCAGCAGCAAAGAAGTGGCCAAGTATCTGGTCTCCGATTTGCCGTTCTCTGCTCTGGGTTTTCTACTGTATCTAGCAAGTCCGTCGGAGGATTTATCAAATGCCCATCTCTGCATATTTTTGGTGATGGCAGGGGAAGAGATAGGCAGATTAACTGTGAAGTTAGCAGGGATCTTGCTGACTTGTTTGATAAAAATAGTTCAGTAACCATCGAGCATGATATGGGTCATATTATTCCCACTAGATCACCTTATATTGATCAAATAAAGGCATTTCTTCTGTCTTTCCTCTGATTTATTGTTGAAATATACTAATCCTGTGTAATTTTAGTCTTATTTTGTTTTGCTTGGAGAAGGAAATCAAGCATTCTAAGGTGTAATGCTAAATTTCCAAGCTTTAGCAATGCTTCTTGTAAGTATAATCTGCTGCAAAATTGATGCGAGTTAAAGAAGTTACAGTTATATATGTTTTGTATGAATTTCTTTATTTTTTTTACATTGTTGCACGTAATTAATATTTTGCCATCATTTATTTCATTTAGCCAAAAATCGTTCTAAGTTTTTTGCAATTATTATTTATTTATTTATTTCATAAAATAATAGTAATGCTATTATTTGTAACTAGCGTAATATTTAAATTAGCCTCGTTGGTGAAGGGAAGGTCCTTTATTTAAAGCCCTCTGTCAGCTAAGGTGGATTCATATATATCCCTTTAGACAAACATCAACCCAGGTCTACAAGGTATTCTTGGACGAAGCAACCCATGGCTGCCGACAAGGTGCCTTCTGTCAGGTTGGGTCGACTACCTCCTCTGACTAAGTAGATCAGGGATCATGACAGCCCGGGACGACGGAACCATGGGATCTTGATCGGGCTCGTCTTCATTCCCCCCCACCACAGTTTTAAATTTATGATGATAAATTCTAAAATCTAAATTTCAAAATCCAAATCAATAAGATCAAATGTAAACCCTAAAATTATTGTTATTATACGATAGGTTCATAACCTATACGACATCCTTAACAACTAGCCTTAATCGAAAGTTCTCTTCTGTTATCAGTAGAGGTAATTAACTATAGGGGCTTGCGCCTATAAGAAACCAGAACTCTGATCAAAAAAGTCCTCACAAAATGAGGGCGAAATCTCTGGGTAGTGTCTTATCTAAAACTCAATCTGCCTTCTGAAAATTCCCTCGGAACCTAATCTCGTTAAAACTCCCTGCCGTCATTGTCACATAAACACTTAAAAAAAAATAAACCGATGGCGCGGAGAGGCTGGGATCATCATAAACACAAAATGGAATTTTTCGGAGCCTACAAATTTCTGGCGACTCCGCTGGGGATGGTTTCTCTTTCCATCTTTGACTAGTTATATACAAACTATAATATCGATAAATTATTAAAATTCTAATAAATTCATTATATTTAGGGTTTAAAAATTTGCAATTAAATATAATTTTTTTGTGTATATTTTTATTCTGTCTAGTCTCTGCACTTTGAAAGTGTGGGGTGATGTATCAACTTCTGAATACTAACCCTTTCCTTTCATTTATGCAGAATGGAACTACAGAATGCGTCCTTCACCGTCCAACTGGGACGAGGTGCTAGCATTCAGCTAGCTAATGCTGTTATCAACACTGGAAACTCTGAAGCCACCATCCGATTTGGAAGCTTAGAGTTTTTTGCAGCTACTGCAAAGGTTGCTGCCGTACCTATTCACGACATGACTGTTCGAGGCCATCCTGCAATACCTAATTCTGCTGATACTTATGCACGACGTGCTTATTCCGTGCAACAAGCAGGAGTTGGTAGAACTGCTACTGCAAAGGCAGTTCAACAAAACAAGACCTCAGTCTTCGAAAGGTTATCACAACCCAAGGCTTCCTCCACTAAGAGGATCGTAACTGAAGGAAGAATATCTGTGATACCTATCAGGGATACCACACTGCCAACCGGGTTATCTGCACCCGGGAAGAATGATGCTGAAGCCTCCTCATCTAGAGGAAGGCTTACAAGAAGACAGAGGAGAAAGTTGAATGCAAAGCTACGAGCTCAACATCCACTACCTGTACATCCATCAACACTCCCAGCCTTAGAGCCAGAAGTTAATGTTCCCACCCATAATAAGTTTGCAAATCTAAAATTGGTAAAGAGGAATAGTCCTACTGGCGAGTTAAAGAAATCTTTCTGGAAACAACAACGACAAACTCCTATTCCTCAGAAGAAAAGATATGAAACTCTATCTGCCAGGGTGCATAAAGTTCTAAAAGTTGCAAAGGAGAATGGCTTAATGAAGAAGAAATATAATGGGCCATATACAAACAAAACTACGAGAATCCCACAAAGAGAGTTACCATCTGCCATGTTAACTCAAGAGAAATCAAGATCAGCTCCACGTGGTGAACATTGGAGCGTGAAACCTAGACCTCGCATCCAGGAATCCGCTTTCAAAAGGTCCCAGTGGAAAGGTAAAGAAATTTGGAGACCGAGAACTCCTGAAAGAAGATTATTTGATAAGAAAGTCGATATAGGCGTGACATCTGGTTCAACCTCCTAGAGATCCGCCTTTCACAAGAATCTTCAACATTGGGTACATATTACTGATATTCGTAATAGTCGACACCTTGGAGAATCTTCCAAGGAATCCTATTGCCAGCCAACTTCATCCTCTCAGAAGAAGGTCAACTTTGATCATACTCCTCCAATTGAAGAAGTTCCTATACCACATGAAGAGCCAGAAATCTTTTGGAAACGTCGCTCTGAGATTTCTATACAAGAAAAAGATGATGATGAAGACACCATGGAAGTTGAGGTAATTTATATGGTGGGGCATAATGATGAGCCACATCAAACACGTGGCTATAGACGACGCAACGAAGCAGCGCCCACTTCTTCTAAAACAACCTCTCAAGAAGATCAAGCTCCGCACGAGCAGTTAGAAGAAGAAGAAGTCCCTTCAGATGATGGACAAAATGATCATCAAGAAGAAGTGCTTACTGAAACACTTGCGCAAGCACAAAGGCGTTTGAAACTTCAAATGAAAGAAAAGGATAAGGAGATATCAGAATTGAATAGCAAGATGACAGAAATGATGGCACAAATGACTGCGATGATGCAGTTAATGCAAAAGAACATCATTACTACTCCTGCTCTTGCTCAACCAATTAATCATCAGATAACAAACCAGCCAATTAATCAGCATGTATCAAGTAGTATTCCTATTAATCTGCCAACCGAACCAATACCCCAGATGTCCGGAATACGAACCAGAAATGAAGAAGAAAATGAGGCTAATCGACTTATTAATCTACAAACTCATCAAAATATTGCAAGCACATCTGAGCCGATGATGACTCCACAGCTAGAATCAATAATCAATGAAAAGATTAAAGCTGTCATTGCCTTAGAGCATGTAGAGAAGTTTGTGAGCAAGGGTCGCCCGTATCCGGCTGAATACGATCAGGTGCCCTACCCTAAGGGTTATTCAGTGCCTAAATTCAATACTTTCAATGGTACTGGCAATCCTAAACAACACTTGACCCAATTTAAAGCAACCTGTGGAAATACTGGGGGCGTGGATGCTTTACTCTTCTGCCAATTCATTAGCAGTTTGACTGCGACTGCTTTTGAATGATACACCGAGCTTCCTAATGATTCTATCAAGACGTTTGCAGAACTAGAAAATAAGTTCGTGAAAAGGTTCGCAAGTGCTACCGAGAAGACTACTATCGTTGACCTTGCCTTAGAGAAGCGAAAAAAGGGTGAGTCGGTGATAAAGTACATCACCCGCTGGCGCAACATAAGTATGAAATATGAACAATAGTTGGAAGAGGAGCACGCCGTTCAGCTACTGATGGGAAACATCGATGATAAGATGTTATCATTTTTATGCATGGCCTCCATCAGCACTTATCAAGAGCTATTGGACAGAGTAGCTAAATTTGAAAAGTTGAACTTGTCTAAGTCTGAATATCATTCAGATAGACCCCGAAAGAATAAAGCTGCTGACAATAGAAGAGATGAAATCTATTCTACATCATCTTTAAAGATTGACAAAGAAAAACAATCCACTCCTAAAGATGATGAAGGAAAACAGTACACCAAACCCCAGCCAAAACTAATATTGGAAGGAAATAATAAGTTTCAGACTTTTCATAATGGAGGAGAATATTCAAAACCAAGAACCGGTGATCTAATCACACCCCTTACAGAGAAAATGAATAGAGAATATTCTTTTAAAAGGGAAAGTGTGTCAAAGCTATTCAAACAAGCACTTAATGCTGGTCTTAAATTACCAGAGTGTAAAAGACCCGAAGAAGCTGATCAGAAAGATGATCCAAGTTATTGCCTGTATCACCGAGTTATCAGCCACCCTATTGAAGATTGTTATGTATTCAAAGATTGGCTGGAAAGAAAGTACAGAAATGGTGAATTCACGTTATCAAATAGCGTTTTAATTCACCCAAATAAAGAATCTGTGAAGGTGATTATGATTTCTCCTATACCCCAGATTAAGGAAGGAGATAAAATGAAGGAGAAAATAAAGCCAAAAAACGATGAATGGCAGACCGCTATCTCTAAGAAGATGATGAAGATGATCAAACAACTAGAAAGAGTTCACAGTATAAAATGGAAATCATTTACGGAACCAGTACTTGAATTAAAAGAAATTTCAAGTTCAGGTGCATCCACTTCCAGATCATTAACTCGGAGGCGTCCTAATACGAAGCAGTTCTATAAGACATCCTCTAAAAAGCCCAATAACTCAAATAAGCATATCAAACAGAGGAAGAAGAGGTCTGTACTTCAAAAGATCATCAACAATTTGGAAGATTATCGTCAACCATTGAGGCGGCCTATAACACTTGCGGATTTTATGTCCAAGCTTCAAATAGACCAATTAGAAGTGGAAGATGATAAGCAAGAAGATGAAGATTTACTTCATGTAGAAACATGTCGAGTCATCTAAGTGGCATCGAATGCAGCCCAAAAAGATTCTATAAAAGATCATGATAGGGGTCAGATAACAATGTCTCCTATAAAAATGACTGATAAAATGATGTCTGAATCATGTCTGATAGTACTACAAACAGATTATAACTCGAAAGAAGAGCTGTGTTTTCCAAATGATGATGAATCAGGTCAGCAAATAGCTTCACGAATGGAGCGTGTGAAGCTAAATGATGACTCTGAACATTCAGCAAAAACTTTATCAGATGATGCTGAATTAAATGAAGTAGATCAAGTACAATTAAGAAGTGATAAAGTGCTGCCGTCACCACCACTAAAAAGGGGATTATCAAATAAAGATAAGGGAAAAGATATAATCATCAATGAAGAAATTATCCCTAAAGATCATAAAAAGAAATATGATGCAAATAAAGGGATAGAATATAATATCATTTCTCATTTGAGAAAAATCCCAGCACAGCTCAGCATATATGAAGCTCTTCTGATGTCAAAAGAACTTCGAGAAACCTTAATACAGGCTCTAAAA